AACCCCCCCCCCCCCCCCCCCCCCGTTCGCCCCATAAAAATACCAAAGTTTTTGGGGCCCTTCAGCAGACCCCCCCCCCCTTCAAATAATCCTGGATCCGCCCCTGCCAACGCCAACTAAAGCGCATCATTTATATATTTTCTGTACTGAAGTGGTATATCAGCACCATAAAAACATGAAATCCTGTGAATACATTTATTGCTGGAGGCAATGTTGCTCTGCTAAAATATGCAAATAAAAAATCGAAGTAAAATTACATGTATATACAGAATATATTTAACTATGTGGAAAAAACATGTTACTGGTACTAGGAAGATGATAAATTTCTACTTTACTTTACTAGAGAAGCCATTTTTTCTTCGCTCAGTTCTCTTAATTTTACTTTTACTTACAGGTGCCAATGTAGTCTTCATGCTGAAGACCGAGGAACTACACCAGGGCCACTGCTTCTTCAGCTCCCGGACCTCCTTTATGGGCAACGTCAAAATGACCTCTCTCTCGATGACGGCAACAAAATCGTTAGAGTTACGGATGTCTATCCACAGTTCTTCCAAACTAAAAAGCGGCGTCAGATGAACAAGGCCAGTCCCAGCACGACGGATGTGTGCGTCAGTGTATTACAACAGTGCCCCACGGACTGTGAACGCTTGGCAAGGCTAGCGCTTGGATCGAACGGGTCGACCCTCGGTGATTTAGTGTCCAGCGGAGGCATGAAGAAACCCCGGGGGCAAGTCATGTGCGAGAACGCAGAGAAAACATTTCCACCCCCTGGTCGACGAATTTTAGCCTTCTTTAAAACTGCGCCTGAATGCCGATCCGTCACGAGTTCAACTTACGTTTTCCCTCATCCGTGGACATTATGTTGTAACGTATATTCGTTTGCCTACAACCAAGTTGTGAAGCTGTACAATCCTAAATGTGTTAGGGACAGCAGTTTTGGTCTAAGTGCTCTTTTTGGTTAAAGTGCAGCACATTCAGTGAAATTAAATAGGCCTATCTGCCACCTAAAGATTATTATTATTATTATTATTATTATTATTATTATTATTATTTCACAGAAGCTTAAGTTTAATAGAAATTAAATAGATATTAGATAGCCAGGCCTTGCGTTTAGGCCTAAATAACCGGTAGGCCTACCCATGTAGGGTCTACTAGTAGGCCTATAGTCCTAGTTGAATGAGGGAGCGACTGAATGACTGAATGAATGATCAAGCAGGTATAAATAGGCCTACGTACGCAGTCGTTTGCCCATGCATGTAGTCAGTTAAGTAAGTAGCCTAAGGGCAGACTTTCCAACCTCTGAGGTAGAGAAATCTGAAAATTGTTAGCCCCCCCCCCCCAAAAAAAAAAAAAAAAAGAATTAAATTTAAAAAAAAAGATATGGGCCTTTGATTTGGTCAAATTCCGTGAGATTAGGCCTACTACGCGGCGTAGACCTACTTATTTTACCTTCCCTGGCTATAAAAAAGACACAATGTTTGGTGTACATGTAGATGAAGTTGAATTGAGGTGAAAATGAAATTAGCCAAAGTTATTGGCCCACTTTATATATCTTGGTAAGGTCCTCAAGTGGTGAAAAATTTGCATGTAAACGCTCCGCTCCGTGGAAGGTCGTGAATTTAAAACCTTGCAGGAGCATGTTCTGTTGTTTCTCACATCGGCAATACCGTTATTTACTCACATTTTTGCTCGGAATTTTCCGTGAGAAATATTTAACAATCCGGCAAATTCACGGCATATTCCATCCGCCTTTCTATCACTTTTAACGATAGTAAAACTTTGTCTTGTAGGTCAGAGTCTAATATTGGGTACATTTGTAGTTGAAAAATTTAACCTTTAAACTAAAAGAAATATGGTTAAAGGGATAATAACTCTTCGTATGATATCTATATTTCACAATAAAAACATTGTGAATAACTCATAGAAATATGATATATTTTGTTTTACCACAAAAACGGCAGTTATAGCTATTTTTCTGATATCTGAGCTTGTCTTTAGACCACGTGACCTCCAATGATGGCTATACTCTGTTAAAATCTCTTAAGAGATTTTAACAAAAAACCAAACTTTTTAGAAAAAAACCAGGGCCTAACTTTGAATGTAAAAATGGATTCATTAACCATTGGTAAGTATGGGAAAATTGTTGTTTACTCCAGGAAAATTCTTTTTATGGCCGAAACGAAGAGATATTATCCCTTTAAGGGCGTAATACGGGTTGGTTGTATATATACAATGTATAGGCCACTCGGAGTACTCCACAAGTATAATTCATCAGTAGTATTGATCGTAACCGCTAGGTGTCCCAACTTCGTTCAAATTAAAGAAAGGCTTGCTGAATCGAAGCAGTAAGTAGCTAAAGGGGAAAAGGATGGTCAATTTTTTGTCAAAATATATATTTGACATCATATCTTCAGCCCTTATCTACAGCAATCATTCATACAGCTGCATAAAAAAAGCTGTATCAAAATAATTTGATTGTTTCTCTTGGAGAGCCCATTCCCATCATGCATCAGCGCGTCACGGAGATTCAAAATGGCCACCGATTGATTGTTGCACGATTGTTTACGTTTTTTCGTGGCGTATTTTGACGTTTCTGACGTTATTTTTACGTCATATGTTTGTGTGACAACGGGAATCTATTCCTTGCTCAAGTCTTGACTGGGTAAGTCACATTTTTTATTTCACCTCACCAATCTGTTGCAAAATGCATGCTTGAAACATCGTTCGGCCAGATTACGTTAGACTGGCGCTCGTGAAGTTGTTTGGTATTTTTTAATAGCTGAACCAATCGGAAAATTGACTGTTTTCCTGAATTTTAGAAGTTGTGATGTAATTTCCGCCCAAAGCGTTAACTTATTAAGACAACGGGAAGCCATATTGTCACATAGCAACAGCTGAAAGTATCATAAATTGGGACATATCTTCCAATTTTCACAACTATTCTGATATATAAATTTTTAATTTCACTTAATGTAATTTGTCATCCCGTCTCTGTTATTTACCAAAACATTTTTCCTTAGACTAAGTTTGAAAGTGCATTTTAAACAGCAAAGGCAAGTTGCATTAGTTATTTTTTGTCAGTATTGCAAGTTGCAGATATGCAAAGGTTGAAAGGCAATAAACCTACTGTGTCAGCAGTAGTTGATTTTTTCCCATCTCTTTAATCTGATGAATCAACTCCTTCATTTCAGAGTATAGTGAACAACATTGGTCAGGCGCTAAATATCACTATTAGTTAATTAAAGTTGAAGACCATCTGTGTCTATTACATTAAGGTAAGCATGTCAACATTTAGTGTTAAAAGACTGTATGATGTAAAAATGAAGATTGATGGTGGTAGTTTTCAAAGTGAACTTGCTGGATGTCTTTCAAAAAAGTTTAAATATGTAATGTACCATGTTAACCTCCTGCTCCATGTGTCTCTAGTCTCTAAATATGATATAAGTATGCTATACAGTCACTGAGATATACACTGACTTACTAGATTTTAGATTTGAATATATATTTATTTTTACTAAAGGGTTGATGCTTAATGATGTAAGCCTTTATAATCAACATGTATTAAATGTTGTATGTTGCTATTTATCATCTTGTTCCCAGCTTGTTTTTGAACTCCCTGTTTCTTCTATCTAGAACTTTTTTTATCAGCCTGAATAAACTGTCATGTAAGCCTAACTATTATCGCCTGATAACACATACCACTTTGAGACAGTCAACTAAAGCATACTCCCCTTTATTTGAAAAAAAAAATATTGTTGAATTATTTTTTACCAATATAATGCTTTTGATGAGCATGATCTTAACTCATATTGGACTCAAAATTTATTTTATCAACTAATTTTTAAAAAAGCATCAGTATAGTAAATTGTTTATGAAATATTGTAAAAAAGTTTGTTTTATTTCAACTATGGTACCTCAAAAAATATTTATATCTTTTTACTATAACTCATTTTGCCGAATGTTATAATTATTAGTACTGGTACTTGCAGATGTTCATTCAGACTGACTTTGCATGCTCTGTGGCTTTTAGTTCTTTGCTTTTTCATCTCTGCTTCACTTTTTCTTTCTTCAGTTTTTTCCATTCTATCCAGTTTCTACTGGAGGACTAACCCTATTTGACTGAACCTTCCAAAACCCGTCTTGCGTCTTCTGTGCCGAGACGAGTTTAAAAACTCTCTATAAACTACTCAATAACTCTCACCAAATTTTATTTGCACTGGAGTTAAACCTCCACAGTATAAATTAACTTGCATAAAAGACTGCGCCTACAGCTACATATAAAGAAGTATGCCCCTCCCTCCAATAGGCAGAGCTAGCACTCTAGTTCTTCTTGGAGAGGAGCACCTGCCACCTGTTGGTCGTAAAACAGGTAGGAATGCAGAACCACCAACGCCACCACCAGGAGCTGGCCAAAACCCAAGGCTATCCTCGGCTCCAAACTCCCAGCCACCTGCAGATCAAAGCTTGAGGTCATCTGCACTTGCCCCTGGACCTTTACAGCGACCAAAACCAGGCACCCTACAGCCTCTCTCTCTGGGCAGGGAACAGCAAGGCAGGAATGGGCTGGGTCCACGACCTGGTGCCCTGGCACCACTGCCACAAGCCTCTAGAGGACAGCAGAATCGTAGTTTATTGGATGGGGAGGAAATCCAAGTTGGACGACTTCGTCCTAGGAAGAAGAACAAAGATAAAGCCTCTGTCCCAAAGCCACAGAGACGGGTCATTCCTGCTGCCAGGAGTGGACAGATGACACCAGATGACATGCAGCCAACTCGGAGACCTGAGAGCATATTTGAAGACAGAATCATCGAAGAAGATGATCCCATGTACTACCTTGGAGAACTCCGATCTTATCTGGAGTATGTCACCCCAAGTTGGCAAGATGAGTTTGACCCGATTCTTCATCCTGATAACCCACTGGGTGCTGACATACCCCTGGGGACTGGCATCAGAGTTCCTCCTCGCTTCCCCAGGGCTGGGACCATGCCCCCTCAAGCCTGGTGGAAAGACCTTGACCTTGCAGGTTTCGTAGAGAAGCTGCTGTATGTACGCCCCGTGCTGCCGGTCATGTATCGTAAAGCATTCTCAGATGAGACCATCAGCGGGTCCTACGAGTTGAGAGTGTTGGATCCAGAGTTCCACCATCCCATACATCTGTTCCATGGGATGACCTCGGATAAGCTGCCGCATCCGCGTAAGATTCGCCATCCTCGGCCACTCCCTGAGGGCCAAGTGGTGAGACCACCACGTTGGAGGTTAACACACATAGCAAGAGCGTCGGGCCTTGCAGGTTAGCAGGCAAAGGGTGGGAGACAGTGACATGCTATCATATCCTTGCCTTATATTGTTCTTCTTAAGGGAGATGGAGAAACAAACAACTCATAACAACAACTTCTTGTCCTTTTCTCTAACATAGCTCTGCTATTTCAACTATTTTCTTTACTTGTTAAATCCTTTTTAGTTGTAGAGCTTTCATATTTTTCTTGAGTTAGAATTGAAATCCTTGCTGTACCTAGCTTGTTAACATTCTTCCGATTGCTTTCCTGTCTAGATGTAGCTTCTCTTTTAACTCAGTTGCTTTTTGTGTTGCTAGCATGCACTTCAGTAATCCACCTCAAATAGTTTGATATGAGATTTTGATTGTTCATTTCTCTGTACACCAGGTGCTTTAGATGAGGAAAAATGCTGCCAAGGCTACATGATGATTAATGATCAGATGATATTAGAGGAAGACTATGATGAGAGCTATGAACCCACAGAAGAAGGTATTTTTTAAAGAAAATGTGATATGTCAGTTTTGTATTTGTACAAGTATTTATGTGAAATATTATGTGGTATATTATTTATCTAACATGTATAAGCAAATTATTACAGTAAAAAGGTATTAAAAGTAGATACTGCTTGTTGTAATTCATACATGTTTAAGTTTGTTCATTTAAATAATTTATCGTTATTTTTTTAAGTAAGAAGTGCAAAATTTTACCTATATGAAGATGTATGTGTCGCTCATTTGTTGTAAAATGTAAATTTCAGAAATCCGTGAATATGCTCAAATCATCGGGATTGATGTGGACAGAGAGCCTCATTTGATGTATGTTGCCCGTGAAGGCATCAATGCTCCACTACCAGCTGATTGGAAACCATGGTGAATATATGATTTTACAACAACAAATGTATGAACACCCACACATAAATGACACACGTCCCAAGTGTAATGGATTTCTAGAGAAAGATCGAAAGCAGCACTTTTCTTTTAGTATGCCTATAGATAATGACATAAGTTTGAGTAAGGACACTCACCAGTTCTTTGCGGTAGCATAATTTTGTTATTTCACCAACCAAGATTCTAGTGACAATCTGCTGAAAGCCTGTAAATCATTTAAAATCATTTTAAAAAGTCATTAAAAATTGTGCATAATTATACTTATTATCATTTTCTTATTATTCTTTTTTCTCTCTTTCAGTCAAGACGTCAATGGAGACATCTACTACTTCAACTTCTCCACAGGGGAGAGCATCTGGGACCACCCCTGCGACAACTACTACAGAAAGATGGTGGAGGATGAGAGGCGCAGGCAGGTCATGCAGGGACCCAGGGCTGGAAATGGTCAGTGCTGGTGCATTCAGACATAACACGGTCACTTCTTATCTTAAAACATGAGACTTACACCTTACACCCATGTTGGGTTGACTCTTGTTCTTGTTGTCCAGTTTTGATGGCCTCTTGATTAAGTTGATAAGCTCTACACATTCGGTCAATGAATCCCTCTCCTCCCCTATGGAAGTTTTATCCCCTTAGTGGTAGCATGGAGGGAAGTGGTTGGAATAAAGGGAGAATTATAATTAGTGACGTCTTTGGTAAACCTAGCCTTAGAGGGTTATCAGTAGTACTAGATTGAGGTCACTCCTAGGAATGTCCACTTAACTTGAATGTTAACACGCCTTTCCCTTCATCAAAGACTTTTACACATTGTCCTTGCTGATATCAGTTATTTTAGACTCACATTTTACTGGATTATTTCTAATGAACATCTCATTTTTACCAAGAAACTGCCTTTTTTTCACACTGACTTATGTTTTGTTTAAATGTTAAGACAAGAATGAATAAATTATTACCAAAAACTTGTCTTAAGATATTCATATCTGAACTAACTTAGACCATAAAATGACCTAGGTTTTTGACATCACCATTTGACAAAGAAATCCTGGATCTTTTATAGCCTTTTGGGATAAAGCAGTAACAAAGGATTTTAAAAGGTATCTTCTTTTTGCAGCTGCTGGCAAAAAGAAAAAGGACACAGCCAAGAAAAAGAAGAAAGGCAAAAAGGATGAGGTAAGGTGAAGCTTTTATGGATGTTAGAATTTTATCAAAATTATTTGCTAATTAGCACTTGTTAGAAGTTGAATCCTGATAGTGAATTTCTACTGTGTATGGTAAGTACTTCTAACTGAAAGTGTATCTAATGACAATGATTATGGAATACATGACTGTTATGAAAAGATTTATCTATTAACATATGCATCCATTAACATGTTATATAATGGAAACAGTGGCCATTATTTTTGGTGAATGTGTATGAAAACTCATCTTGTAGTGCTTACATGTCCCATACAGTGCTGTTTGATAACACATTTATAGGACCTGCAACCTGTGTCCACAATGAGGTCCCCCCAGGCAACCCTCACTTCTCCCAGAATGCCCTTGGGTCCTATAAGTCAGGTGATCACTGTGTGGCTTCCCAGAATGCATTGCACGTGTTGTGATTAGTTGATTGATGTTTAGATATTTAGTCCAATGCAATCAATGTTCACTTACCCTGTTCTATTAGAAAATGTGCGTAGGCTGAAAAATGGAAATTGCTATTTATAAAATGTTTGTATTTTGGCTGTAAATGCACACTGCTTATTGTTGCTTTTATTCATTGCACCATCTTGATGTTACCGTACATGTGTTGTTTCTGTGCACTGTTGTGTGTAAAAAAATTAACCCTGGTCAAAAAGATGTATTTTTTCTTTGATAAATCTGAAAGCTTTGGAACAGCTTTTTAATTTTTGTTGTAAAAATGAATGACTGTTTCTACTGCTGAGTGTTGAAGACGATTTTGGCTTAGTTGAAATTAGATTGTATAATAGTTGCACAAAACGTAGACTGTGTTATGTTATTGCCACATTGCTTCCATAAAATACAATTAACTAAAATTGAATGCTGTGATGCCTCTTTAAAGCCATGTTGTCGTGCTTACATTTCTGAAGTTTTATTCTTTTTGATAACTTCTGGTACAGCTTCTTTGCTACATATAAATATATTTGCGAGGTATTGTAAGAGCACTAATTTTGTATTTTCATTTCATTTATTTAGCAGTTCAATAAAAGTAGCTGGGAAAGTTTTTATGTAACACTAACCCTTAGCAGATGAATATATTTGAATGTGCTTGACTGTCTTGGTGTGAACTTACAGTTAAAAATAAATATTAGCATCTTCTCCATCATTTTTATTTGTCAGAAGTTCATTCAACATAACCCCATGATTTCAGTCACATTTGTAAACTGTAGGATGACATCTTTTCCACATGTACCATTATCTTTCAGCAAAAGCTGTTTATTTAATGTCATGTTTATATGTTAGGGGTCTAAAATTTAGTTTCATCTCCTTTTATATTGTATTTTATAATATAAAATAAGTAAAGGTCATGCAAAGCAGTTAGCATCCTGACATGGATGAAAAGGACATTGTACACAATGGCCTAAATTTACTGAATATATAACTAACTGTTTCAGCCACAGGGACTTGGTCCACTGAAGGGAGGAGAGACCCCCTTAGGGAGCCCCATGAACACCCTGGGGAGCCCCATGAACACTCTAGGGGGCAGCACCATGGGAAGCTCTCTTGGCAAACATGGATCTCTCGGACCACTCAGGCCTGTGGGGAGCATGGAGGTAAGAGGCTGACCTATGCCCAGCAGATGGACTTTTGTGCCCAAACTTAGCACTGCTTGCATGTTACAAAATGCTTAGTCTTTTAGGTCCATTTTACTGTCAGTTGTGCTATCATTTTTCAGTTTCTTTTCTCTTTTCTACATGCCCAGTAACCTACACTTTAAGATATACCCACCCGTCTATTTCTCTTTATTTAATATGCACTAATCACTTACTTTTGCTTTTTGTCTCCTTTGCTAACTGACCCAATTCTCACACTGTCACCTGCATGTTTGTTTGCATGTTAACTTCCAGGGTCTACCTTCTTCAAAACCTCCTCTGCCTCCTCTGAATGCACAAAACCAACCTGATGCTTTCAACAAACCTGCTCTCCCTTCTATTCAGGTGATTCTCTCTTTTCCTTTCTCAGACTAGGGTAAAAAACATAAATGGCACATGTAATGTGATATAGATAGTTATGGAATAAAGTCACAGCTTCATTGATGTATTTGCCTGTGATTAGTATTTGTATAACCTGAATGACCTGTTTTCATGAATGATTTTTAAAAGTGAGTGAGTGATTAAGTAACATTTTAATTTCTACATTATTTGTTTTAATCAATTTTCCTGTTTTAATCAATTTTTTTCTAGCCTTCTTCTCTTTTTTCATGTTTTATTGTAAAGTCTTTTTAACAAATTCAGATATTTACACTCAAATATTATTATTATTATATACTTTTATTATTATTATTATATACTTTTATTATTATTATTATTGTACCACCAGCGTTAGCGCTGGCGGTACACATGGTTTCGGTCTCGTCCGGATCGTTCCGCCGGCTCCGCCGGCTCCGCCGGACGGCTACCGTTACCGCTTCTCCTCCTAGACGGTAAGGCCCCCCATACCCATCTCATGGATTTAGGTCACCTATAATCTCAACTCGTTCCACGTAAAATTTGGGCTTTGTCGGTATTGGGGTCNGGTCTATACGAAAGCGCTTGCTCCATCTGGTGGTACAATATTCGGAGGCGGTATCGCCTCTCTGATCCTCTAGTTATTATTATTATTATCATTTACTTCAGCCCATGAACACAATGGGCAGCACCCTGGGGTCCATGGGGTCAACAGGTGTCAGGCTGGGGAGTAGCTCTGATGGACTGGCTCTGGGAGAAGGTGGTGGAGGCAAGAAGTTCCTCAAGTCCAACCGTGCCAAGGATGCCCCGACCTCCATGATGTCCAAGCATGAGGAGAAGCTGGACTTGGGGGGAATGTCAGACAGTGATGTGAGTTGCTGGGTGGTTGTTGGCATTTGTATATGTTTGGCAAATGGCTGGACGTATTCTTGTTTGCTTAAACTTTAAGTTAAAGAAAATCTAAAATATTTTTTCCTTTAATAATCATTGGTTTAGTTTTGACTTGACAAGTATCTAAGTATTTTGATGAATTCATTCTTTTAGTAGTATATTTCCCTAGATAAGACTCATTGCCTTTGTGAAACAAAGGGTGACATTTTTGAATGTCCATTTCAGTCTGACAATGACAGGAACAACCTGAAGAACATCCGTTTTGATTTGGCAGAGATGGAGAAGGCTACAGAGTTTGGCTATGAGGTGTTTATTGTACTACGCAGTAATAATAGTAATATACTGTCTTTTCCCCTCCCAACCTCCCAGTCTCCACCCCCACCCCAACCTAAAAACCTGGACAAACTAAAATGTTTTCTTACATATTCTTTGTAATACAATCTTTATGTACACTCAGATAATCATTGTGTAGATGCTTTTATTACTGATTCAGTTCGATTAACGTGATTCACAGTGTAAAACAACTCGCTATGTTTGCCTGTTAATTTAGACCAGAAAGCAATTCTGGATATGTACTAGGTTGTGATAAGTGAATTGGTTCGGACATGTTAAGAAGACACCTATGTTGATATGATGTGTATTTATTTCCCTGCAGACATCTGAGGCCAGTGATAAACCTGCCAAGCCTGTACAGTCTGAGAGTGACAGTGAGGATTACGGAAAAGATATCGTAAGTAAAAAAAAAAAAAAAAAGATATATAAAAGTTTAAGTTATTAGAAAAGTCAAGAACATGAAATTTGAGTAGTCTGCAACATGAAGGCTGTTTTAATAATAGCAATCTTCTTTTCTGTTTGGACGTAATCAGGTAACAGCATTGCACTTTGAAATATCAAATATTTGTCAAATTCACATGGAAACAATAATGTTACTTGTCATTTTATAAGAATTTTTTTTTACACAAAGTATACAAAATTATTGCATTTTAGTAATAGACCTCTTAGCCTGGAAGTATTTAGTGTGATTTATATGTTGCAAAATTGCTCAGATTTGAAGTTATTTGGTTATTTATGACACACTGTTTATATGTTACATTGTTACTACAGACAATGCCATACAGGTGGAAGCTGATCCTTGCAAGTTAAGGTGTGGTCTCCAAGTAGCTGCGGTATTGTCTCCATGTAGTCATATTTAAATGATCATTTTCTGACTGCAGAATCCCAGGAGATGTGCTATTGACTGGCTTCTTTGAAATTTCCAGTCTTCTTTTGTCGTGGGCACACAGAAAAGCTATTACAGATTAGTAATGTTTTAATGAGATTTCAGAAATCTGGAGTTGGTCAAGATTTGATGAAAATAATAGCCTTATTTAAAAGATATACAGTAAGGTGTCTTGAAATTTCAGGATTTTGGAATTGATAGGAATTTAGATGAAAAGATAGCATTAAATCTCAGCGATGATGATGAAGAGTCAACACAGGAAGCCCTCCGTATGTCAGGGAGGAAGAAGGAGCCAACCCCTCAGAAAAGGGTACATGTTTTATAAGAACTTATTCCATTAGAAATAGATTTCTCCACTTGCTGCTTTAGTGCTTTGTGTGCTAATAATTACTACTGATTTTTTTGTCCATGTGTGCTTTTGTTATTAATTTTTTGCAATAGAAGACTGAAGGCAATGATCACCCTTTGTGACAATTCCCTTTTAGTTTGCTTCATGTAATTTTTGTATGTATATCCTTTTAATGGTGCTGGTTATGTGCATTTCCTTACTCTATGCTTTATGTTTCATATAAATTCTTCTTTCTTATGACATCTGGTATTTGGAGGTACCAAGAAAAGTGAGATGTTGCTTCCTGCTACTTTTTCATTGGATGTACACTATATCTTTCTCTTTCTTCGTTTCAAATACTTTAATTTCTTTCTTTAGCTTGATTGTCATTCTGTATGATCACTTGCTTATGTGATATTGTCTTTCTTTCTTTCTTTCTTTCTTTCAACATTACATCTAAAATAATTCCTTTCCAGTGTCTTGTAATTATTGGAGTTTAGTGCAATTATTACTAGTTGAAGATGTTCTCATCTTCATCCTTAGCACTGAGAGAATAGTCAAGGGTTTGTTCAGTGATATATGACATTCAAGCTTATAGTTCCACATTTTATGCTTAAAATGGCCATATGCACACTAACTGAGTATATTTTTAACCCCATTTATATAACTGTAGTCCTGATAATGTCCAACACCTTGCTTTATGTCTTGTCTCTCTTATGTCATAGATTCCATCAGGAATTGTCCCCCAGACACAGCCCCCAAAGAAAACATTTGATGATGACTTGCACTTGGTATGTGATGTAGAGTACTTGCCAGTTTTGTTTTTGTCCAACTAGAAAAGAAAAAGATGATTAAACTTGGATCCTTTATGGTTTTTATTTTTATCTGTGTTATCTCTCATCTGGATGTTTTTCCTTTTACACCTTATTTTACCATTTTTGTATAGGACTTTTATTACTGTTTGTTTCAAAGTTAAATGATTGAAAAATTCCCTTCATTTGCTGTGATTTAGTCCCTGTTTCTAAGAGAGAAATTCTTTCCTACTCTTTCTTTTGCTTTCCTTGCAATCTTGATTTAATGCTCTTAATGTGTTCCTTTATTGATTTGCTGCTTTTGTAAGTTGCAAATTTTAGCATTCTTTTTCTTTCTCTTTTTTCCTTCCTCTGTGTCTGTGTATCTGTGTGTAGAGTGACATAGATTCTGACTCTGACTCCTCTCTGAAAGCAGCACTCAATATGCAAAGTAGAAATGTCAGGGAGCATGAGAGACAGCTGCAATTGGTATGTCACATGTTTGGTATAACATGCAGGAATTTTCATTTATTTTTTTTAAACATTTGTCAAATATGTTTTTGCTAAATTTGGCATAGTAGAGCTTAACCAAATGGTTAAAAAAAAAACAAATGGTGAATACATTCTTATTTGACTGTGGAAAATGTAAAATTTGTTAGTGTTTATAGCTAAATTTTACATTTAAATAGTTGAAAATATTGATTTAAGTTGGGTTAAACTTACCCAGCTATTTGGCTTATGGAAATTCATTTTACAGAAAACCCAGCACGTCATGTAAACATTGGGACAAATAATGTCATTTTTAGTAAACTCTTAAGTGGGTTTAAAATTAACAGCTTGTATTTCATCAAATCAGGACAAAGCTCAATCATTTAAAATCATATTTTATAACTGTTACTAAGCTTTTGTTATGATTTCATAACATAAAAGTAAGGTCATGTATTTACTCATTCGTTATCTTTATTCTATTAGGATTTTGAACCAGCCACCAAGGTTATCCTACCTTCCCCCTCTGCCAGTGGCACCTCCATGGAGGACGAGAGGAAAAGAAAGGCTGAAATGGCAGCTCTGGCAGCAGAGAAGTAAGTGTGCATGTGTGTGTGTGTGTTTGTGTGTCCGCACATGCATGTATGTCTGTATATATAACTCTTCCTTCTTGCATTTTCAATTTTCTTTTGCCATAAAGATTGGTTCTTGTTAGCNTGGCAGCTCTGGCAGCAGAGAAGTAAGTGTGCATGTGTGTGTGTGTGTTTGTGTGTCCGCACATGCATGTATGTCTGTATATATAACTCTTCCTTCTTGCATTTTCAATTTTCTTTTGCCATAAAGATTGGTTCTTGTTAGCAACAAGTAGTAAATATAAGATTGTTATTTCTTTTTCTACTCATAATTCAACAAACAATCTAACACTGCATTTGTAAGAATTGAAGTGCAGAATATGTTTGGCGTCATTGTCTCTTTAGAATCTAATAGATAATTTTAAAAAAGTGTTTTATCAGTGCATACACTTAACAGTAGCAAATTGCAATTACAGAAGGGCTGAGAGTGACAGACAGCTCAAGGCTGAGGAGGAAAAGTTGAAAGCAGCCAATGAGAAGGCCCTGGACGAGCTGCGTAAAAAGTTACAAGAGGAGGAAGAAAACGCCAAGCTTGAAATGTTGGAGGTAGGTGCTGACCCAGTTATACTGCTTAAACTTTAAGATTTGATGGAAGTTGTTTTCTTGAGATTAGTGCTGGTGTTTGGGGTCAAGGACTGAATACTTAGATAAAATTATTTGTACAACAGGTGCTAAATTTTCACCTATCATCTTAAAAACGTGTCAGGAAGTCTTTTTTTCTTAATCCCCTACTGTTGACTTTTGATATGATTGTAGGAGAAAGAAGAGAGGCTGTCTCAGCTGAGGAAAGATATCCAGAGGGAGACAGAGGCAGCTGAGAGAGATCTGAGACAAACTAAAGAGAACAAGCTCAGGTTTGTTGAATTTTGTGTTGACATCTTTTGGAATACTTTGTGAAATTGTATGTTATATATTTTACATAGCAGGTGAGGTGAGGTGTGCATCATGCATTTAAGATCATAGAATTTAACCTAGACTTTATCGTGCTATATTATAATGTTATCTATTTTTGTTATTATTTTTTAATTTTCTTTTCTTCTTTTTCTTTCTTATTCAATTATAAATGATCTGCCTAATTACCACTTGCATCACATTTCATTTCTCAGAATCCTCAGAGATGAGATCAATGAAGAGACAGAGGATGAAGAGACCAAACTAATGCAAGGCAAGCTGGACTCCCTGGCTAAAATAAGAAGAGAAATGAAGGTAGACACTGAGGAGGAGACCAAGGAAATGAGGTACTTTGTTCTTCCTCTTGATGTTTGCAATACTGTTAAGATGTGTTTTGATTATGGTGAAAGGTGATAAAGTTAACCAACAGATGACAAGTATAATACGTTCTTTGTAGATTTCATCAAATTCCCAATATGAATTATAATTTTAAAAAAATGAATATGCTTTCCAAATGTTTTTAGTCATTTTATTTCTGGGACTACTACAACCCTGGTAAACTTTATATCCAAATTCAATTACTGGTGAAAAGCAATCACCATTTTGTTCTCTCTCTGCAGGGAAGAGCATGCTAAAGAGCTGGAAAAGATCAAAGCAGAGCTTGCTGAGGTCCGGAACAAAGAGAGGGGAAACATTGAGGAAGAGAGGAAAAAAGCCAGAGAGGAGATTAAGAGAGAGGTAAAGATTTTTGGGTGACATATATTTATTAGCAGAAGCGTGCATTGATGTAGTGGTTTGGGCATTTTATTATTTGTTGTCAGTGTGATGTAGCTGTGATAGCTTTAGTAGAGGATAAAGTGTGCCTGGCATTCTGTTCAAGAGACTGACAGCTAAAAACCTACAGGAACATTCATCAGGATTCTGTAGTAGTAAACAGTTAGATTGGGCAGGCTGTAAAGGCAAGCAATGGACATTGGAACATTAAAAATGTACAAATCATATAAAATTTTCTTGGAAATTTAGATATCCTATCTAAAACTTTTGAGAAAATCATGCTCACTAAAGGTGTTCTTGATTTCTCTCCATCTCCATGATACGAGGTACTCAAATATCAAAAACTTTTGGGTTTTTAGATTGCTTTTTTTAAATTGGTTTATAGATTGTCATTTTGACATCAGTTTCAAGGAAAAAAACTCCAAGAAAAATTAATTATATTTTTGCCCAATGTTCATTGTAAGGGTGTTACTTAATGAAATGCTTCAGCTTCTTACAACATTGCGTGAACAGTAGCTAACTGCTTTTGCTTCAGATTGAAGAATATCTCTCAGAGGAGAAAGAAAAGCTTGAGGAAGAGAAGCAGGAGAGGGTGGACGAGATCAACGAGCAGTATGAGAAAGAAATCGAGGAGATGACAAAACAGCTGCAGAAGGAGCACAATGCTAATGTCCAGGAAAGCAGGAAAAAAATCATCATGAAACATGAGCAGGTGCTTACAACTCACATACAGTTAATATGTGAATTTAATGAAGATTTATATTTGTGTATTGATATGTTGTGGGGACATGTCATTTTAGGCATACAGAATTTGTACTTGGCATGGTGATGTTTTAAGATACATTATTACAGGAATATCCCAATTGTAATTCTCATGGTTATTACTTGTGTAACAAATTGACAGCTGTAGAAATAGAAACTATACTAGATATTGTTGAAGTCTAAGAGGACCATTTATTTGATTTTTAAGAGCTAAGCATAGTGAAGTGTGAAATGGGGCTTAGAAAAGGTAGCAATCAAATTTAGTGCTCTAAACAGACCTAGAAAAATGTGCAGCTGATAATGAGAGTGAAGTTTGCAGTGTTTTTGCTTTGATTTGAATTGCATATGACAACTCTTAGCAGACATCACACGTGATTTTTTTCCTCAAATTCATCACTGTCAAACAAACGTAGAGGAGAGGTGATGAGTATAGGTGCTAAAAAGAGAAAACCAAGTAAAGTTTGATGGGTAATACTTCATAGTTATTTTTTTTTTCAAATGTTTTTCTTTTAATGATAAAAATTTCATCAAATCCAGGACATGAAAGATCTAGAGACAGAGCTGAAGACTTTGCAACAGAACGAACTAGACAGAAAAGAACAGGAGGTCAAGGCGGCCAGAGAGAGACAGAAGGCCGTTGATGATCTAGAAAGAGGCCTGGACGATGTCCTGAAGGAGAAGAAAGATGAGATCAAGGCAGAGCAGAATAAGGTCCTGGCTGATATGAAAGCTGACTTTGAGAAAACTGTGAAGAAAATGCAAGAGGAATACAAGCAGAAGGTGATTATTTATTTGTTTGTTGTTTGTTTGTTTATTTCTGTTAAGTAATTTTTCCTCTATAAAAATTTTCAATAAATTTCCAGACAAAGATTGTGTGATTTTGGTAAAAAAAAAATAAAACAGTAAAATTAAAAAAACAAAGTTATTTTCATTTCAGGAAAAGAAAGAGAAAGAAAAAGTGGAACAGCAGCTTGAGACGTTGAAGAAAGAACTGAAGCAGAAGCAACAAGAGGAACTGGAGGAAGTTAGAGAAGAATTTGATGATATAAAGAAAACTCTAAGAGCGGATTTGCAACAAGAGGTGAGAAACACAGGGTAGAGATGGGTAGGGTGGGAAGAGGTGGGTTGGGGAGTAAAATTCCCATTACAAAGTTTGGTTATACAGAGAGAGAAAATGTGATGAAAGCAAATGTGTGCTACCACTTTATTATTGGACCTAAAGCATTAGCATGAAGTTTTCCAAATTGAGGTTTTGATGTTGATAAACCATTTCATGAACACTGACTTTATTCTGTCATGAAATATGAGACTATTGTAGGATATATTGCAGTTTTGGAATAATAACATTGTGGCAATTAAGGAAGTTGGAATCAGTAGAATAACTTGTCATATTTTTATTCTCCTTGAAGCTTGACGATGTTCAAAAGGAAAAGAAAAAGAAGACTGATCTCAGAGCAGAGAATGAGAAAGAGTTGAACAAGATCAAGGCTGATTTTGAGAAACAGTCCAGGAAGCAGAAGGAAGACAACGAGAAACAGCTGAAGAAGATGAAAGCTGAATTGGAACAACAAAACAAGGAATGGCTGGAGGAACAAAAAGAAAAGGTAGGTAACAACCAGGAGAAGTATCAGAAACATTTTTTCTTAGTCTATATTTGCAGTCATTATGAAGTGGTTTGTGAAAATTTTTTTCTAAAGTTCCACTGTTTAAGATGTGCTTTATAAGACAAGGATCCACAATACTGACCACAGTTTATCATAATCATATAATCAAGCTGTCTTAAAAATTGTTATATTTTATTTTTACAGGCTCAAGAGGAACAGGAATTGGCCAAGAAAGAATTTGAGAATGAGTTGGCCACCTTGAAAGAACAACTGGCCAAGGATCTTGAGCAGATGAAGAAAGAGTATGAAGGAACCAAACAGCAGCTGAAGGAAGAGTTAAAACAAAAGGTAAGAGGTCACCCTTATTTAGGATAGATTGAGATGATGAAGCAGGGAAAGACCAAAAATTTGCAGTGTGTGTGTAGAATGGATAACTTATCAAGAATTCTGTATTTAAAAATGTCATTGTTGAAATTTAGAAGATCTGATATTGTATATGTTGTTTCCCCATGTGCATGTATTGCATGCGAGTGCAACGAGGCAGATCATTCCATCAAAAGTGGCATATATTAATGTGAACCTTTTGTTATATACAGGAGGACAAGATCAGGAAGAAGGCTGCAGAAATTCAAAAGCAAAAAGAAGAAAAATTGCAAGCAGAAATGGCTGCAGAGCCATCAGAGACTGAACTGTCAGATGAGGTGAGATTTCTTCTAGACTAGTAGGCTAATTATACTTTTTGTGTGTGTGTCTGTTTGCGCATGCCTGTGTGCTAGTGAGAGTGAGACTCTGTCAGTGTCTTCAATCCACATTTAACTTAAATCTATGTAACTTAATGTCCATTTATTTATGCTGACTAACTTTTATTACATCAGATGTGAATGTTAAACTTTTTTATCAGGAAAAGAAAGAGAAGACCAGAAAGAAACCAAAAGCAGCCAAAAAAGTTAAAATTGTTGAAAATGGAGACTTAGGATCTGACAGTGATAGAGATGAGACCACCCCTAAGAAGAAGTCAGGTGT